ACACACAAACAGAGCCAATTGCCAAACAACAAGACCCCAGGTGTCGACCCCATCCCCATAGAATTGCTGAGGCTTGTACCACCCACAACTATCACAGCCATGTGCCAGAAAATTTGGGAAATGAACACATGGCCACAGCATTGGAAACAATCAGCGTTCATTCCGTTGCCAAAAAAGGACGACTTCAACATTGCTCCAATTACCATGCAATTACCCTCATCCCTCACACTAGCAAGATTCTCCACAAGATCATACAACATTTGGCACCAGCCATTGAAAGGGCATTACCAGATGTTCAAGCTGGCATCAGAAAGGGTCGTGGCACTGTCTATATATTGCAGATCTACAATAGATCATGGAAATATTTCAAGAATATCAAAAGAACCATCTACATCTGCTTTAGTGACTACAAGAAAACCTATTGAATGACAAGATGTGGAGAACTTTAAATGTTCTGGGGTTGCCAACACATCTGGTCAAGCTGGCACAGTTGCTGTACACAGATCAGGAAACCACTGTGTAAACACCGAACGATAACATTTGATTGGTTCAAGATAGAGAAAGAATCCGGCAAGGTTGCATTCTTTCACCTTTTTTATCCAAAATGTATGTTGAAGTGAACAGAGGAAGCTGGAACTTGGAAGAATTACAAAACAAACTCACACCGAGTAAAGTTTGGAAGAAGGAACTTTCAAAACCAACACCAGCCAGAACATAAAATAACTGAAAGAAGCTGTAGAAGACTAGACAATGTGAAGAGAGAGTCCACTGAATCAGACACAACTGAATGGACAGCATCACCATCATGGGACTTCAGTGTCATTGAAGCATTCAGACAATATTGAGACTGGATAATAATATTGCTGAATATTCTGTTCATTGAGAGCTAATGATTTATATCTAATTATTTATCAGGGTTTCAAAACAGCAAGGGATACTTCCTTTCCTTTTTTCCAGTAATAGTTAAAGCACAGGGTAAAAAGCAATGGGCCAGCAAACCCACCCACTCCCTTTCCCAGGGACATCTAGTGGGCACTGCAATTAACTGATTGCTCTCTAACCCATTAAAGGGCTATAAAAAGAGTATAAAATAAATGATATCAAATACAGTTTATTTGACAAACTTCCAAAAACATTTGGTAGAAAGGAAATTTTATTGCTTTTATAATGAAGAATGGCTCAAAACATTTTAAAAGCAAGATTAACTATTAAATATCTTCAAAACAAAGGAGATCGGAACTCAAGTAGTTCAACAACAGTCTTTTTCTGGAAGTGTTTCAATTTAGCATCCTTTTAAATTAACCGTGGTATAAGTTTATGGTTGTACAAGATGAAATACAGTGAGCTTTGTTGTGACTCGGGCTAACAAAAATGATTTGATAACTGCAGTCATTAACTGCCCAGTAAAGAAACATGGTTAATTTATATCTATGTTTCAGAAGTACCAGGTTACATGGAGCTGCTATGCACATGTAGCTTTTGAAAAAGAAAATAATACCATGAAAGGAAAATATTCTAGATTACAGTACATATGATTAGACAACTATTAAGATTACATTTGACCAAGGAGAGTCATTTTACTTTATTCTTGTTTTGTAGAAACTCAAAAGTACACAAAATCATATTCTGGAAGATGATAGATTTTCTACCACTATTATGCCCATGTCATTCTTTTTTTTACCTGAGTTACCTTAAGTAAACAGATTATAATGTGCATTTACTAGTCTGGTTCAGAGCTCTAGGTGCAGCCTATGCTCACATGAAATGTGGGGGACCATCATTCATATCAACCAAAATAATCGGGAGGAAAACAGGTGAATCAGCCCTCTTTTGGTATCAGCAGGGAGGGGAGCTGGGCACAGGTCCTGGGAGAATGTCTGTGTCCATAGTTGTTCACTGTTTCATTGTTTGGCCCTGATCTCTAAGGCATGGCCACTGCATAACCTCCAGTCATTTCCAAATGGCTTTTGTATATCCCGCCAGTAAAATAAATGAAGGCTGCAGCAGACGCACTGTTGCTGAACTTTTCATACAAAATCAACCTCTATATGGGAAAAGTCTGGTGATGTGCTGACACTTCTAGAGTGCAGTTTTACAATTATGAAGCAGATAGGGAGCCTGTAAAACATTTGCTGAACATTAATTTTACAGTGGTCTGTACAGGATGGTAGATGTAATCTAATTATGTACAGAAGTTTATTTTCATAGTATTTTGTGCAACCCAGTCTCCATTTGCAGTTAAAAGGCTGCTGTCGATTCCTCGGCTATTCAGATTCCTTTAATGCCGTTAGTAATGGAGAATATATAAAAAAGAGGACCACTGATCCCAAACAAATACTGTGCTACACAGACAGCTGTACATAATTCATACAGTGCATATATCAGAGTTACATAGAGCAGCAAGTAGAGACAATGACCTTTACAGTTTCTAGGCATGATATACTTTACATGGGAGGGAATATTTCTACAAAAGAAATTGGGAAGGCCTAGGAAACAACGTCTTCTATTCATGTTCAGAAAAATAGTGCAGTAGGAATAAATCCTTTACAGTAGCAATTATATAATTCAGAAGCACTGTTAACTCAAACTGTTAAAAAGCCACATACAAAATGAAGTGTTTTTGTACTCGATAGTTATGTCAATCAAGTTTGATGTAATACTTATCAGAAGTATCCATCTTCTTCATCCTCTTTGTGCTCTGTTTTGCTCCATATTTCTTGTAATCATTTCCCCTCGTTTGTTTAATCTATCACGGATTTAAGTAGAATGAGTACACTTGAAGCAATTTCTAGCGGAAGTCGTATTGATGAAAAACACAGGTGTTCTGTCATATTTACGAGGTAAGTTTGGAATAATTTGGAGGAGAAAATTTACGTTTTAAATACTTCAGAATATAAAGTGGAAGACAGCTTACTACGGTGATGGCTGACACTTTCCATAGGAAGGTCACTGTTGTGATAAAGGCAACATCTATGGAAATAAAAAAAATCATTTATACAGGGAAAAAAGAAGGGCAAGATCATTAAGTAACACTGACACGTGACAAATTTTAGGTTAGATACTTTGCTTGGATGGCAGACTAGCAGAGAATCCGAGAATAGATCAAAATCAAGAAAAGGAAAGCGGAGGAGAGGAGAGGAGAGGGCAGTGTTGCTAAGAAAAATACATGGAGAATTGTAGCAGAGTACTTTGATTCAAAACAAAACCATTTAGTTTGAAATAAATACCAGGACGCGATTAACTTTACAACAAGTTCGCTGTTACATGACTTTTCTAAAAATGCTTTTTAAAAATCATTCCTTTGTTTTGACAGCAGTCCAAATGATACGACCATCAAGACAAATCTGGAAACGTAACTCTATCATTGTTCAAAGACAAACACAACAAAGAACAGAAGCAGCTCGTCAAAACCAAATGCTTTAATTTTATTTATTCGCTAAATAACAATTGATTTGGAATTGATAAAGTTCTAATTATGTCCATCTCTTCATGAGTTCTTTTTCATGAAACGTTATTCTTGTATGTTACCATAGAAATGTATTCAACATACTTATGAGAAATAACACATCAATGCAATTTTGTTTTTGTTCAGTTTAGTATCTCAGAGACTGAATACGATCCCCTCATCTTTATTTTCATTTTAAAAGTATCGTGTTTTCCCGAAAAAAGGCAGGGTCTTATTTTCTTTTGACTCCCGAAATAAGTGCTTGGCCTTATTTTTGGGGAGGTCTTATTATTTTTGAGGTGCAG